TTCACAGTCCACAACCACGAAATAACCTATTTATGAGAACTCCCACTCTCCAAATCCATAAAACACACGAATCACCATATCCGATCCCAACTCCACCGCCCGAATATCTAACACATCCCTAATACCCCCATCATCCCATGAGGGGTACTTCTAAAAATTCTTCTGTGCCACCATGCAAACCCTGAATATCCGCAGTCGATCAGACAAGCAATACCAATGAAGTATCCATAACTCAAACACATCGCCCTTTCTAAAATGTATACCCTCATCAATCCACACCAATCAGTGATCTCATTTATCTAGTTATATAAAGCTGTCCATGCTGCCTAAGAATTTATGACCTTCCTTTCAAAACTGAACTGTGACCTTACACATGCAAATCTCAACCCCACACAACATACCACATATAACATACCATCATATGATAAATATGAGAACTTCATAATCCACTCCGAGTTACAAGCAACTGCATACTCAGCCAGCCCATAAATTTTCCATTTGATCCCATCTAGGAGAAAATCACTATATATCCCATGTTCCTCATGCCAATAGAAAATATACGTCTCTAACCGTGGTAGAAATCATCAAGAACTCTCCGAATTCCATTTGCACAAAACTAAACCGTCGGGACTGAATCCTTCTAACTTAACCAAGCCACGCAAGCCACTAAAACCCAAGAGCATTATTGCGAAACACCTCTAGGAACTCAATACCTCGTAAGCACCCAAAGAACTAATCATATCCTTTACCATGCCGATACGGCCTACTACCAAGCTATACCATCTATCTAATTTCCTTCTGATTTACCTTCAACTTAATACTTCCTCCCGCTATAACGCCATAATCCTCGACCCAGACTCGCCACACAAGACCCAAGCATAAAGCCACACCATCCTACGGCTCATAAGCCGCTAACTACTCTCTCAAATATCACCAAAAGTGCCACATTTGAAATACTTTCCTTGAAGAGGCTTCCTGTGAATCTAAAGGCATTACCTTCACCTTCCTGATACTGATGTGTAGAATCCACAATTATATAGAAATATCACGAGTCTTGACACCCTCCAATGCAAACCTCAGTGTTTAGCCAAATATACAACCTGAAAATCAAGCAACGGATAGTTCTTGCTAGCCCCAAGAAGACCCTTCTCATCTCATTCAAATCTTATGAACACAACTCGCAGTCATATCATACTCATCAAGTAGCTTTCCAGTCATCACTCCCATTAATAGGGATAGTATCGAACAAATAAATCCAAAAACACGCGCTCTCAAAATCAACAGCTCAGGGCTCAAGCTACAGGAAAGGCCCGACCTCAAGTTCTCCAGACTGGCCCAACATCAACACACAGATATCACATCTCGCCCCTCGATCAGGGAATCACAAGTCGTCGATGCACATCCGACACCGAGCGCTCAAGCGCACATACGAACACGTGGAAGGAATTCAAAGAGTTACATTTTAAGCAGAATCAAGGACACATGATAAGAATTCAAGAATGTGAAGTTTTTCCTAAAGGTTCTACAACCTCCCGAGGATAAGTACAGACGTCTCCGTATCGATCTGCGAGACTCTACTAAACTTGCTCATGACTCATGAGACTTATGTAACCTAGGCTCTGATACAAACTTGTCACGACCCAAAAACCAACCCGATCATGATGACGCCTATCATGGAACTAGGCCAGCCAACACAAACCCAAAACCAATCAATATTCTCCATTCTTAGCATAAAATCGAATTTATTTAACAATAAACCATTAGATAGTATTTAAAAACAAACAATAGTGCGGAAAGAAAGCCCAACATCGGGGTGTCACTAGTCATGAGCATCTACGACAACTGTCTGACAACATCAAGACCAATATGGCTAGAAAAATCACAAGAATACACTAAGGCAGAATAAAGAGGGAAAAAAGAAAGGCTGCGATCGTCAGGCCGCTACCTTGCTAACTCCGATGAACCTGCCACCGAGCTCAGAAATATCTGAATCTGCACACAAGGTGTAGGGAGTAATGTGAGTACGCCAACTCAGTAAATAATAAAAGTAAATAAAGACTGAGTAGTAAGAAATCACGTAAACCACGTCATAGCACCATAGTGGGTACATCATGTTTCCAAAATAAGATACAAATCAAATCATCTCATTCAACTCCCATTTCGGGAAAATCCTTTGAAAAATGTCTTTCTAACAATTTCAATAGAAGTTCAATGTAATTTATAGTGAAAGTGACGAAAATCATAATCGGCCCCTCGGCCAAAACATAGTTCGTATACAGCCCCTCGGGAAAATAAAAATTAATAAACATCTCATAACTTAAAAATCTCAGTGGAAGTAACAAAGCCAAATCAGTGACTAAGTTTCGAACACCTCGTAAAAATTCCAGTTTAAATAAAAGTTGTTTAAAATATTTGTTTAATATTTTCAATAGAGGCTCAGTATAAAGATGAGTGAAAGCAGTAATTTAATCAATATATTCAATAGAGACTCACTTTAAGAAGGAGTGAAAACAGTAATTTCATAAATAGGCCCCTCAGGCAAAGCATCATTTGTATATGTGTATATATATAGCCCCTCGGGCAAGCCTCTCAGTCACTCATGACTCAACTCTCAGTAATTAGTGCTCACACTCAGCACTCACGCTCAATAGGCACCTTCTCATAACCGCTGCGGCATGCAGCTCGATCCATATATCGCTGCGGAGTGCAGCCCGATCCATATATATAGTCGACTGCGCTCACTGGGTGTGTGCAGACTCTAGAGGGGCTCCTACAGCCCNATATATAACTACGACGTGCAGCCCGATCCATAAATATATAATCCTCACAACTAGGCCCTCGGTCTATCTCAGTCATTAACCTCATAATCAGGCCCTCAGCCTCTCTCAGCCATCAACCTCACAAGCAACTCGGACTATTAGTAAAATAGGGCGTTCAGCCCAAAATATCATTTATAGTATCAAAACTGGGTAAATAAGGCCGAGTTATGAAATCAGTAAAATACTGCATGACTGAGTACAAATATTAAGTCAAAATAGTGAGGAATAGTAGTAAAAAGCGCCTAAGGGTCCAAACAATTGGCACGAGGCCCAAATATGGCATTCATCTCAAAACATAATAATACTTTCCAAAATACAATAGTATCAAATAGTTTTCAATCAAATACGCGACTTAACAATCGTACGGGCCGGACCAAGTCACAATTACCAATTCTGCACGACCCACGCTTGTCATCTAGCGTGTGCGTCACCTCAAAGTAGCACAACAATGTAAAATCTGGGGTTTCATACCCTTAGGACAACATTTACAATCATTACTTACCTTAATTCGATCCAACTCTAGCCCGCGATGTCTTTGCCTCTTGACTCGGCCTCTGAATGCTCCAAATCTAATCAAAAACATATTCATACCATTAAAATATGCTAAGAGAACAAAGCCCACTCGAAAATAACCAATTCACACCAAGAATCCCGAAATTGGCCAAACCCGACCCTCGGGCCCACGTCTCGGAATCCAATAAAAATTATATCAATAGAATCTTTATCCTCCCATGAGTCCAAACATACCAAGAACATCAAAGCGGACCTCAAATGGCCCCTCAATCCCCAATTTACACTCTCCAATATCAAGCCCTAATTCCCTAATTTTAGGCTTTAAATCCCACTAGTTTCATGTTTAAGCAAGTAAGAATAAATATAGGATCGAGTTTTAGGTTCAATAATCTTACTCCGAAGAAGTTCTCTTGAATTCCCTCTTCAATCTCCCTTAAGAAGCTCCAAAACCGACTAAAACATGGTGAACTATGGCCAAAAATCTTGAAAATAGCCTTTTAAACATTCTGCCCAGCAATTTAAATTCCTTAATCGTGATCGCAACAATATCCCTACGATCGCATAACACATATGATGACTGTCCCCATTTAACTCTACGCGATCGCGGTCTCTAGCTCGCGCACGCAAAGCACAAATGACAGGACCTCAGCTGCTCCCAGTTACTCTATGTGAACGCGACCCTCACCCCGCATTCGCGAACAACAACCTTACAGCCTTACGTGATCGCGTCCTCAACTATGCGATCACATAGAACAAAATTCACCCCCGTTTGACTAAGCCTATGCGATCGCGGCTTTAACTATGTGGTCGCATAGAACAAAAATGCCTGCAACAGAACTGAAGAAAATCTGCAATTTCTCAAACATGCATTTAATCCGTTTAACCACTCGAAACTCACCTGAGGCCCTTGGGACCTCAACCAAACATGCCAACACATCCCATAACATCATTCAAACTTGTTCCAACCCTCGGAACCCTCAAAGGAACATCAAAACATCAAATCAACCACGGATTCAAGCCTAAGAACTCCAAAAACTTCTGAATTCCTATTTCGATCAAAAAGTCTATCAAACCTCGTCCGAATGACCTGAAATTTTGCAGACACGTCAAAAATGACACAACGGACCTACTCTAATTTCCATAATTCCCTTCCAACCCCAATATCAAAATTTCCACAACCAACAGGAAAATGCCAAATTTCCAATTTCGCCAATTCAAGCCTAAATCTACCACGGACCTCTAAAATACATTCCGGATGCGCTCCTAAGTCCAGAATTACCTAACGGAGCTAACCAAATCATAAAAATTCAAATCCGAGATCAAATACTAAAAAGTCAAAACTTGGTCAAACCTTTCAAATTTAAAGCTTCAAACTAAGAACTGTTCTTCCAAATCCATTCCGATTACCCTGAAAACCAAAACCGACAATTTACATCAATCGCAATACATCATACAGGGCTAGTGATCCCCAAGAACTGGCGAGCTAAGTGTAAAAGCTCAAAACGACTGGTCGGGTCGTTACATTATCAAACCTTCTAGTATTTGCTCACTTATAAAGTGGCAGTCAATCTCTATATGTTTTATTCTCTCATGGTACATTGGATTAGCTGCTATTTGTAAGGTTGCCTTCTTATCATAATACAACTCCATAGGAATCTTCACATTCACCTACAACTCTATCAATAGTCCTTTCAACCACATCAATTTTGCTACTGTATGTGCCATACTTCTATATTTAGCTTCTGCTAAACTTCTAGATATAGTGCTATACTTCTTTTCTTTCCAGGAGATAAGTGATTCTCCTAGTTTGATATAGAAACCAGTAACTAATTTCCTAGACATGGGGCATGAAGCCCAACCTGAATCACAGTATGCCACAATTTCTTCTACACCAATTCTTGACATTAAGAGTCCAAGTCCAGGTTGATTCTTGACATACCTCACTACATGTAGAGCTGCTTCATAATGTGACCTTTTTGGTGCATGCACGAACTGACTAAAACACTAAACTGCATATGCAATGTCTGGTCTGGTTATTGTTAAGTACAACAACTTCCCAACTAGCCTCTAGAAAATGTTTTTTATCTTCCAAAACCTCATCAAAACTTTCTGTCTTTATTAGCTCATCAAATTCTGCACTAGTTAGCTTTAGATGTTGTTCCATTAGAGTTTCTTTAGGCCTTGAACCTGAAAGGCCTGCTTTAGATATCATCTCCAAGGTGTACTTTCTTTGTGACATTATGATGCCATCACTTGATCTAGCAAACTCAATACCCAGAAAGTATCTTAGTTCTCCAAGAGCTTTTAGCTTAAAGTTTTTGTGCAGAGCTTCTTTGGCTGATTGTATCTCTGCCAAATCATTACCTGTACCAAGCAAATCATCTACATATACAAGTATGAGCACAAAAGCACCATTAGTAGTTTTAGTGAATAATGAGTAGTCATGTTTGCTCTGTTTGAAGCCAGATGTTAGTAGGGCTTGTGTTAGTTTCAAGTTCCATTGTATAGAGGCATGTTTCAACCCATACAGTGATTTGAGGAGTCTACAAACTTTGTTTTCCCTAGCTACTGAATCCCTAGGGCAGTGTCATATAGACATCCTCAAAGAGATCACTATTTAGGAAGTCATAGTGTACATCCATTTGGAAAAGAGGCCAATGCTTAAGAGCTGCAATAGCTATGACAGTCCTCACAGTAATCATCTTAGCTACTGGGGAAAAAGTGTCATGAAAATCAATTCCCTCTTGATGGGTATATCTTTTTGCTACTAACCTTGGTTTAAACCTCTCAACAGATCCATCAGCATTATATTTAATTTTGTATATCTACCTACATCCAATGGGAACTTTCCCAGGTGGCAGGGTAACTACTTTCCAAGTATTGTTCTATTTTGGTGCTTCTATTTCAAGCGTCATTGCTTGAAACCACCTGTCATCTCTAATGGCTTGAGAGTAAGAAGAAGGCTTAGTGTCCGATGAAAAATAAGCAAGGAAGGACTGAAAATGAAAGGAAGATGAGATAAGACACAAAATGTTGAATAGGATAAGGAAAAGTAGAAGTAGAAGGCAAAGGAGGGTGAACATAGTCAGTTAGCCAAATGAGAGGTCTGGATGTTCTAGTGGATTTCCTGGGCTATAAAGATTGTGAGGATGGTTGATGTGACAAATAAAAGGAATCAGCAAGGAAGGATGGAGGTGTAGGAGCAACAGGATTAATTGAAGGTGAAGGGTGTGAGGCACTACTAGAATTCCGGAAAAAAGCGACCAAAGTTGGTATGTCAAGAAAAACGACCAAAGTTGGTCGCTAAATTGGCGAAAATAATAAAATAATAATTTGATATACATTAGCGACCAAGGTTGATCGCTACTTGGTCGCTAATTTCGTCAAAATATTGACCGGACTGGTCAGACTTGCTTGGTCAAAGGTATACTGAGATTAGCGACCAATGTTGGTCGCTACAAGGGACCCACTTATAAAATTATAATAATTATAATATAATTTAAAAAAATTATAAAAAATAAATAAATAAAATTTAAAATTAGCGACCAAAGTTGGTCGTTAAATTGGCGAAAATAATAAAATAATAATTTGATATACATTAGCGACCAAGGTTGATCGCTACTTGGTCGCTAATTTCGTCAAAATATTGACCGGACTGGTCAGACTTGCTTGGTCAAAGGTATACTGAGATTAGCGACCAATGTTGGTCGCTACAAGGGACCCACTTATAAAATTATAATAATTATAATATAATTTAAAAAAATTATAAAAAATAAATAAATAAAATTTAAAATTAGCGACCAAAGTTGGTCCTTAATTAAGGGGTAAGCAGATAGTGACCAACTTTGATCGCTAAAATGGGACCCAGTTATAAAATTTTAATAATTATATTTTTAATTTAAAAAAATTATAAAATATAAAAAAAATATAATTCAAATTTAGCGACCAAAGTTGGTCACTTACAAAAATAGAGACCAACTTTGGTCGCTAATCTGGGACCCAGTTCTAACGTTTAACAATTATATTATTATTTTAAATATTATGTAAAATATAAATAAATCAGATTTAAATTTAGCGACCAACTTTGGTCGCTAATTTAAATTTATGAATATTTAGCGACCAAAGTTGGTCTCTTTTCAGGTCACTAATGGTCAAAATTAAAAATCACTTTTGTATTTACTATCTAATTAAAATAAATGTAACCTNATATATAGAAAGTTGTTTCCTGAAATTGTTTAAGAAAATTTGAAATAAAATCTGATTAGAACATATGGTATCGGGCCCGTATTTTGGTTCTGACGCCCGGTACAGGTCTTATATATGATTTAAGACGTTTCTATGGAATTTGGTGAAAAAACGGATGTCATTTGACATGGTTCGAACCTAAATTGCTAAAATTGATACTTGGGGAAGTTTGAGGAAAGAATTCTTTGGTTTTGAGGTTTAATTCGTTGTCATTGAGGTTATTTTGGCGATTTGATCTCACGGTTAAGTTCGTATGATGTTTTTGAGTTAGTATGACATTTGGTTTAGCCCCGAGGGCTCGGGTGAGTTTCGGGATGTTTTTACACTTAGGAAAAAGTTACAGATTCAGAGAAGTTGCAGGTCTCTGAAGCCAGGTTTCGCGGTCCGTGGTGGAAGCTTCGCGACCGCGGTGGGATTTGTGCGGTCCGCGGTGAGTAAGGCTAGGCCTTCACGTCCGCGCTCGATTTCTTGCGGTCTGCGGTGGAAGCCTGTACGGCCGCGGTCGGTTTCATACGGTCCCCACAGGGCACTGTACCTCAGGAAGGGCTGTGCGGCCGCAGTCCCTTTTATGCGGTCCGCATAGGGGGTCTGAAAGGGGTATAAATAGACGAGATTTTCAGTTATTTTGCATTTTACAAAACCCCAAAAACATAAGAGGCGATTTTTTCAACAACCTTTCTTCTCCAAATCAATTGTAAGTCATTTTTAACTAGTTTCTTCAATCATTAACATCTTTTAACATGATTTCAACTTCAAATCAATGATTTTCATGGGAGAAATTGGATGATTTGGGTAGAACCTAGGTTTTTCAAAAATTGGGGATTTAGACCTCGATTTAAGGTCCGATTTCAAAAAAAATTACATATTTGAGTTCGTCGGGGAATGGGTAATCAGGTTTTGACCATGTGGGCCCGGGGGCGATTTTGACTTTTGGGTAAAACTTTGGAAAAACTCATTTTTCATGCATTCAAATTGATTCATTTAGCATTTATTGATGTAATTAAGTAACTTGTGGCTAGATACGAGCGAATTGGCGGAGGAATCAAGGGGCAAAGCTATAATTGAAACTTGAGTTGTGTTCGAGGCATCGAGGTAAGTGTTCGGTCTAACCTTAGCTTGAGGGATTATGAGTTGAGTCCTATTTGCTATTTGCTTCTTATTGAGTACGACGTATAGTCATGGTGACGAGAATCTATACGTTTGTGTCGAGCATAACCGTGAGTCTTAAATTGATACTTGTTGTATTCTTGAGTGTTTCTATGGTTGAAATAGTGAGTAAATCCCTTGCCGGGATGTATATACTTGTACTGCTGAGTTCCCTTGCCGGGATAGTGTAGTCTATTGTTGATCCCTTGGTGGGACAATTAATTATGATTATTATTGACTATATATTTGGAACGGGTTGCGTGCCGCAACATTATGGTTATTGTATGGTTGTAGACATAGAGTGTCCTTTCATACTTTATTAAGTTTATGTTAGAACTGATATGTTTTCTTGAAGCATGTTTCCCCCTCCCTATTAAACTGTTATTCCCTATTTATATTTCCGCTGTATATTATATAATTGCACATGTTTATCTGGAGTCTAGTCCTAGCCTCGTCACTACCTCGCCGGGGTTAGGCCAGACACTTACCAGCACATGGGGTCGGTTGTGCTGATACTACCCTCTGCACTTTGTGCAAATACTGGAGCGGCACTTGATCAACAGCAGTAGGGGAGCCAGTCTTCAGTCCATCGAGACACCGAGGTAGCCTTGTAGGCGTCCGCAGGCCCGACATCTCCTCATCTTTTATTAAGTTCTGTTATCTCATGTATCCGAGACAAACAATGTTATTTTTCCTTCAAATTGTTGTATGTAGTACTCTTAGTAGTCCGTGGATATTGTAACACTAGTTTCTGGGTAGCGGCATGTGTTGACTTCCGAAACATTTTGGTTTTTTTATTTATTTAAGACTTCCTCTTAAATCTCATATTCCGCTATTATTCATATGTTTATCACTTGTTAATATAAGTTGTAAAAAGGATTAAACACGGAAAAGTTGAAGATTTCTGAGTTCGTGGCTTGCCTAGCTTCTACGAGTAGGCTCTATCACGACTCCTGAGGGTGGAAATTCCGGGTCGTGATAAGTTGGTATCAGAGCTCTAGGTTTCATAGGTCTCACAATTCACGAACAAGCTCAGTAGAGTCTGAGGATCAGTACGGAGACGTTTGTATTTATCCCATAGAGGCTACAAAGTTATGAAAACTTCACATTTGTTCTTTCCTGTCGTTCAATTTTGTTTCTCAATGCTAATTGAATATCCACTCTATTCTTTCGCATATGGTGAGAACACGTGCTTCCTCATCCACCGCTCAGTAGCCCGAGCCCCCAACAGCAGCTCCCACGAGGGACAGAGGGCGAGGCCGAGGCCGTTCTAGAGGCCGAGGTAGGGGCAAAGCTCAGCCCCGAGCAACAACACCAGTGGCGGAGCCTCAGGTTGATATTGATGAGGAGGTTCCAGCCCCAACAGTTCCGGTGGGACAAGCTTAGGTCCCAGAGGGGTTCATTGCTACCCCAGTTCTTCAGGATGCTCTGGTCCGATTAGTGGGACTCATGGAGAGTGTCACCCAAGCAGGCTTGCTCCCTGTAGCACCATCCATCTCTTAGGCTGTAGGAGAAGCACAGACTCCTGCTACTCGCACTCTAGAGCAGGTAGCTCCTCAGATTCAAACTCCAGCAGTTCAGCCAGTTGGATTAGTACAGCCGGGTGTGGTAGCTCAGACTAGTGATAGAGCGGCTATGTCTGCCGATTCTTTGTGGAGACTGGATAGGTTCACCAAGCTCTTCACTTCTACTTTCAGCGGTGCAACTCCTGAGGATCCCCAGGATTATCTAGATAGCTGCCATAAGGTTCTCAGGAACATGGGGATTGTTGAGACCAATGGGGTCGATTTTGCCACATTTTTCTTGTTTGGATCCGCCAACACTTGGTGGAGGGATTATTGCTTAGCTTGACCAGCTGGATCGCCAATCTTGACTTAGAAGCAGTTCACACGGCTATTTCTGGAGAAGTTTCTCCTTATTACTCAGTGAGAGGCTTATCGGAGGCGATTTGAGCGCCTCCAGCAGGGTTCCATGATGGTTACCCAGTATGA